TTTTTTAACTGTCCAGCATAACACAAACTTGAACTTAACTGATGAAGAATAGACGTAAAATTTTGAAATAAAGGAAAAAAGCGCCAGCTCACTCCAGAGGGTTGTAGCCTGTCAAAGCTACTTTTCAGAATGTTTGCCTTATCCAGAGTTAATATTTAGAAAAACTATCCTAGGTTTAGCTGCATTTATTGATAAACTCTGAGGGTCTTGTTGCTAAAGGACTTGTAATGCGTTCATAGAAAAGTTCGATTTGCCTGTTTCTGAAAAAAAGATTAAAGATTGCATGCAGACAGTGGTGGTGGATCCAACACTCGAAGTCAAAATTCCAAAAAACATATAGTTTACGCTGGTTATGTTATCAGTTCTGTCTTTCTGAAACTTAAACGGCAAACTTATTTAAAACAAATGATCATTCCAAAAACAAGCCTCTGATCGACGGAACGGGTCACTAACCAACTAATTGCAAAGGCTATAACCGAACAGTCTCACGTCCAACCGCAAGGACGCGAATGAATTTGTGAATTTTCACAGAATAGAGATTTTAAAGCTGAACTTTGGACCGTAAGCCCTTCGTTATTCACCCTGACTGTCAAAACGCCATATTTAGAAAAACATACACTAAGGTGACGAATTCTCATTATCGAATCAGTCGATGAAACCAAATTGTTTGAATAGGTTATCAGTTCTGTCTGTGTGCCACCTTTGAAAGTGCATATTTCCTCTTTTTTCCCTTTGCTAAAAGAAAAGCAGTAATTAATTTACTTAGACGGCAAGTTAATTACGAAAAGAAATTCTTTTTCTATAAGCGAGCCTTCCATCTTCCTAACACTCTCCTATCCAACGACAAGGAATCGAAAGATTACTTATATTTTTGAAGGTTTGAACGTGCCTCTAAATATAATTAGTAGTAAAATTTTACGTAATCAGGGAAGGTTAGAGTGTCTGTTTATCTTCCATGATTACATAATCATTCATCTTAATTTAGTAACACTGCAAGAAATAAGTTTTTTCAGCGTCAAAACGCAGTGTGACGCGGACAAAATTAAATAAAGCCACTACGATGGCTGTGTCTATACAAGATGACACGTGCAGTTTTCATTTCATATTGCTGCAAAGTTCCCGTAGAGTTTAGCCGCAAGGTTTCAAAACTTTAGAATTTCCTTTTCTATTCCATTCCGATTGACAGACATTTTGGCGCCCAAATGATAAATAAGTATCCTAAATTAGAGTCGATTCAAAAAAGTGATGAATACATTAGACTTTGGAGCTCTTAGCTTTGAAAATTTCAACAATGCACATGCGTTAAGCATGAACCAATTGTTAAATTTCACATGATAGTTCACGTGGGATCGTTATCATTAAAGATAACATGATAGTTCACGTGGGATCATCATTAAAAATCACATGATGGTTCACGTGGGATCATCATCATCAATGAGTCTTTGTTTGTTCTATTTAGCTTTAAAATCAATTCACCCTAACACTGCAGTCAGTTCAGCTTGGTCGGCAACGGAGTGAACTACAACAGATTATCTTAAACCCGAAATCAAGTTTTGAAAATCAAGCCATTTATCCTCAACATGTCTCATTCAAAGCAAGTAAGTGAATTCAAGTAATTAACTAAGCAAAGACAGTTGCAACTGAATGATG